CCAGCGGCAGCCGGGACAGGAGCTGACAAGTTAATGAATTGTGGCTCTTGCGACTGGGTTAATTACTCAAGGTTTTTTCCTTATTATTGGCCATGATTAAGGCCATTAGTCATCCCTGTGGATCTCTGTCCCAGGGCCTACTGTGTGTGCCTGGAGCCCTGGTGGCACAGCAGTTAAGTGCTCCCCTGCAAACCGAGAGGTGAGTGGTTGGAAGCCACCAGCCGCCCGAGGGACAAAGATGAGGCTGTCTGCTTCTGTGACAGTGAACCCTGGGGCACCCCAAAGGCTGGTTGTGCTTTCTCCTACAGGGTTGCTATGTGTTGGAATCAACTCCACGGCAAACAGCTGAAAACAAAAACAAAACCAGGTACCACGAGGTCAGTAGAGAGTCCTGGTGGCGCTGTAGGTTACCCAGTGGGCGGGGAACCACAAGGTCAGCGGTTCAAAACCACCAGCTGCTCCTGAGGAGAAAGATGAGGCTGCAGCTCCCATAAAGAGTTCCCGCCTTGGAAGCTCTACTGTGCCCTCTAGGGCTGCCATGAGCTGGAATCGATTTGACAGCAGTGAGTCGGGGGGCGGGGTGGTTTGAGGGGCTTGGTACTGTGCGAGGAGCCCTGGTGGTGTCACGGTTATGCCTTGGGCTGCTAATCAAAAGGTCACTAGTTCAAAACAGCCAGCCAGTCAGCTGGAGCAAGATGAGGCTTCCTAGGCCCGTAAAGAGTTGCGGACACCCGCGAGGGCAGCTCTCCCCTGTGCTGCAGGGCTGTTCTGAGTCGGCATCCACTCGATGGCTATGCGTCTGGCGCACAGTGCCGGGTGTGGAGGGTCCGGCTGCACACAGGCCTCCCCTGCGGAGCTTCCACCTATCCTCTGGAACACCTTCCCCGGCACATGAAGGGCTGCCCTTCTCACCTGCACCTGCTAGCCTCCCCACTGTCACCTGCAGGGGAGGGCACACGCTGCACAGGGTCTGAGACAAATCGTGGGAGGAGTCAGACACCCTATCAAGATGCCCCCTCACAGAGGAAAAGTGGGCCGAGCATGCAGTGCCTACGGAGAGTGTCTACACAGCATCGGGGTGTGCGCGCAGGGCTGTCTGGCCATCTCCTGCTGGCAATCCTGGAGCAGGGGAGTGGGCATGCTGGGCCCGGTGGGGCCTGGGCAGTGGCCCCACAGTGACACGAGGGTCAAGTGTCAGGACCTGGGACATCCTGTCCCAGACCACGCTGTGTTTGAGCCCACTGCGGGAGGGAAAAGTTCCCAGGCCTGCAGGGTGGGCCTTGTGCCACCATCGCCCACCCCTCCACCCACTCCCACGCCCCCACCCCCTTCCCCCCGAGCTTCTGGGGCTGGAGTCTGGCCCTTGCTGGACTGGGCAGCACTGGAGTCATCAATCCTGAGGCAGAGAGGACAGCCAGGAAAAGGAGGAAGGGGAGCCAGGCAGCCCATTTGCCATAATGAATTGGACTGGCCGGAGAACGCCAGAGCCAAGGCTGACCGTTTGGCAGCCTTATGGAATCACAGAATCACAAGGCTGGCAAGAAGCGATTCATCAGCCAGCTCTCTGGACCCACCAGCAGGCTCTCACTCCTGATTTCCTCCCCTGGGAGGCGGGTGGTCCATCCCACCTCAGCTCTGTCCTCAGAAAACTGCTCCCTGCACACCTGGCCCACAGCCTGCAGAGTCCTGGACTCAATCTTAAGGAAGTGCATCCCAGACAAGGAAGAGGTTGGGCCTGAAAAGTTGCTTCTTCTCCTTTTTTTTTTTTTAAGGTCATTTACGGGGAGTCGTTTACAGTGTGACGGCCGCGAGGGTTTGTGTGACGGTCCAGCAGGAGCCACACGAGTCCATCCGACTCGGCCTCGTCCTAAGAGAAGGACAGAGTGGAGCTGGCCTCGGGGTTTCGGACACTTCAAATCTTTACCAGGGCAAACAATCTCATCTTTCTGCACCACCACCCCTCCTCCTGTCACCGCCTCCAAAGAGACTGGTGGGTTCAAACGACTAACCTTCTGGTCAGCAGCTCGATACCAGGGAGCCTTCTAACTGTCCCAAAAGAAGAAACACCTTCATCCGTGAAAGCGTCCATTCACCTGAGTTACTCGGCCCCCAGCTCTGGCCATGCCTGGTGCTTTGCTGAGTGACCAGGGCAAGACAGGGAGGGATGAGGGATCAAGGGGACGCAACTGATGGCCTCTAAGGAGTAAACAAGGGAAGCCCTTCAACTGTCAGAGACAGAATCCCAAACTGCGTATCAATATAAGATCATCACCAGCCTCAAAAGCATCCTCTTAAGTCTTGCTAAAACCAAACAAAAGTTTAGCTCATTTTTCAAAGTCTGCACGGGGTCACGTGAGCAACGGAGACTAGAAAGGTCAGCTAGGCCCTTGGGGGTGGGGGCAGTGGGGGCTGATGAGGGAGGAGCCCCTCAGGAAAAGGGGGAGGGGACAACTTGAAGAACGTCGCAGTCAATGGGTCCGTCCGACTGCAGCATGGGTGCAGTCTCACCACCCACAAAACGGTGACACTTTTTTAAACCCAGGGGACCATTTAGAAAAAGGGAAAATGAAATCCACGTGGATTGAGCCTCTGGTGAATCCCCTCTGCCCACAGCCCACGGAGGTGCACAGCCCGGCGGTCGGGCAGAGCGCTCGGAACTAGGATCGCTGAAGATGCTGCGAGGGTCACAGTGCAACCCCTTGTTATGTGGTGTCCCTTTGGGCCCATTTTAAGTTTGTCCTGGGTTCTAATATTGCCTGCTTTATTTTTAATCGAGGTTTTCCTCTGTTTTGCTTTGTTGTTGTTAGTTGGTTAGTTTGCTTTTGTAGGATTTTCTGTTTATGAAATCCAGAATAGGTGAAGCTGTAGGGACAGTAACTGAACCAGTGGTTTTTGTGAGAGGATGGCAGGGGTGGTTGGGGAATAGAAGAAGCTAATGATAATGCGGACAAGAAAGGAGAAAATGTTCTAAACTAGATTGTGATGATGATTGTACAACTCTTCTTAATAGGACTGAACTAATGGATTGCATGATGTGTGAATTATAAGCCGATAAAACTGTTAAAAAGCACACAGGGGGAAGAACAGGGAATGGAGAAATATCAAGATTTTAACAACGTTCTACCTGCGGCCTCCTGGCCTCCCCCTTCTATTTCCCTGATTTGTTTGTTCGTTTGTCTGTTTGCTTGCTTGTTTTTTCAGAACGTCCATCACGATCACATATCCCTTCTCTAGCAAAGCGCCCCTCTCGGTTTGATTTTAAAGGTGGGGCCTGTCTGGCTTTTGAGCTCAGGTCTGGATCCCTGTGGTCCCCACTGCTGACCTGGAAGCACTCAAATAGAACCAGGCTATGTGGCCCGGCCTGAGCATCACAGCAGCATCACGGCCCAGCAGGGCTCCCAGGTCAGCACCATGGACAGCGCCCGGCCACAGCCTGAAGTACCTAGGAGAGGGCTGTGCAGGGAGACACCCGGGGGCAGGAAGCTGCACCCTCGCACCCGGCAGACACTGGGGCCAGCCCAGCCCACCGCAACAACCCTGACGCTGGAAAGAGCACTGTGCCCACAGAGCAGGCCCTGTGGCCCCGCGGGGGAGGCTGGTAAGAAGGAGCGAAAACAAATATTGCCCGGCTCCCGTCCCACACACAGGCAGCTCCCGGGAGGCTTGCGGACCTGCCAAGAACAGTCAGGGCAGCGTCTGCCTCTAGCTGCTTCTCCCAGCGTTCAGGTCAGCTGGCACCTGCCCAAGGAGAAAATCCAATGTCTTTAACAAACCCTTAAACCAGATGGCGTCCGAGGTGAGTCATATCTCCTGGGTCCGGTCTGTGGGGCTGCTGGCAGTGGACTCACCTTCCAGGAAGATGGCCGCCAGGAGGCCCCTCTCCCAACAGGTGCCCCGGCGGGAGGCAGGTTCTCACCTGCGTGTCAGACACTCGCAGCCTGGGTCCCAAGGCCCCCTGTTCTTCCAAACCCCCACCACTTCCACCTCCCTGAAGGACAACTTGTTCTCTCTTTCCCAAAATATTTTTGTAGAGAGCCCTTTCCTTCTCCAGCAAAATCGGATGTTTTTACTCACTGCTGTTGTTTTTCGGAGCACGGCTGCCTGGGCACAGATTCTCCCACCTGGGGTGTGGGGGTGGGAGGGTGGGGTGAGCAGGGGGTAGTCCTTACGCAAGATCTTATTGGGCAGGCAAAGCTGCTGGCACCCTTTAAAGCAGCTGTTCTCAACCTGTGGGTCGCAACCCCTTTGGGGGTCAAACGACCCTTTCACAGGGGTGACCGGATTCATAACAGTAGCAAAATTATAGTTGTGAAGTAGCAAGGAAAACAATTTTACACTTGGGGGTGTCGCCACAACATGAGGAGCTGTATTACAGGGCCGCGGCATTAGGAAGGTTGAGAACCACTGCTTTAAAGAAAACAGGGCACAAACAAAACCCCACCATCTGTCTCCAGCCGACCCTGCCTCTCGGCCCCACACAAGCATTGGAGTCGATCTGAGTTCTAGGGGCCTTCGGGGGCTGAGCTTTGAGAAAGAGTTTGCCTGGCCTTTCTTCTGAGTCACCTCTGGACAACCCCTCTGAACTTGCGGTGAGCAGGCCAGTCTGCTGACCATCGGCACTGCCAGTGGCTCTCTTCCAAAAGGAGGGTTTTGGCTTTGGTTTGCCTTCAAAACCAGCAGCCCCTGGCAACACCCACAAGCTGCAGCCATGGCACACAGTAGGTCCACGGTGCATTGTCAGCACCATGCTGTGCAGAATGGCTCCTACGTGGTTTTCATTGGCTAGCCGGTCAAGGCTGGCCTTTCATGGCAGTTGAGAATGACACGCCACCACTGACCAGACAGTAAGTGGCCTCTCCTCCACCTCCAGGGTCCCTCTCAGAGATCTCTCTCACACACACACACACACACACACACACACACACACACACACACACACCGAGCCCCAAGTCAGATGGCTCCAGGCTCTCCTGGGGGCAGCCCAGCAGAGAGGTGCTTACCTTGCTGGTCCGTACGTCCCAAGCCTTGATTTCGGAGCTGAAGCCCCCACAGACAAAGAGGTGGTGGTCTTGTGGATGGAATTTCAAGGTGGTGATTCTAGAGTCACTCTGACCACTAAAGAGTGGGGTCCCTGCAACGGGAAAAGAGAAAGGCTGTTTGGGGAACACTGAACTACAAACTAATTATGTTGAAAGCACAGAAATCCTCGTGTAGTTTGGCTATACCGTCAGGGGAGACCAGTCCCTGGAGAAGGACCGCATGCTTGGCACAGTGGAGGGGCAGTGATCAAGAGGACAGCCCCCAAGGAGATGGATCTGACACCGGGGCTGCCGCCATGGGCTCAGGCACAGGATCGGTGGTGAGGCTGGCGCAGGACCGGGCCATGTTTCCTTCTGTTGTGCACAGGGTGGCTATGGGCCGGGAGCCACTGGACGGCACCTGCAACAACCACAAGCCGTCCTGGGACGCGGTGCCCAAGGGCAAGCCCGCCAGGCCCTCGTGTGTTCAGAGGAACTTTCTGGAAGGAAGTCACTCTCGCTCTGGCCACCCTCTCCTCCCCTGCACCCCCAAGGCTGAGCTATGCAGCCCCCAGGGCACCTTCCTGTGGGTGCTGGGCAGGCGTGACCTGTGCTGATGCCCTGAGCCAAGAGCGAGATTCAGGGAGATTAAGGAGCGCGTCCGCGGTGGCGGCTAACACAGGAGATGAGTTCTCAGGCAGTCAAAGACGAAGGGCGAGATTAGCTCCAAAGTGATTTCTTTTCAGGATCAGCCTCTTGCTGACGCGCCGCCGTCGCCGATGGGTGAAGAGCTGTGGAGCGTGACGGGAAGCGGCAGAGGGACACAGCGGGCAGTTGGGGACAGGGCGGGGCAGCCAGTAACTCGAAATGGGCAGGGTGGCGTGGACCAGGGCAGTCCTTGTCCCCCATGCAGGGCTGTCCTGCGTATCCAGACTGTGGATGCAACAAATGTTTGGGTGTTTGCACAAGCACAAACCCCAGCCCAGTCAAGCCCACCCCGCTTCACAGCGACCCTGCTTCGGGTGTCCAAGGCTATCAATCTCCCCTGGAGTGGCCAGCCTCATCTTCCTGTTGAGGAGCAGCTGCTAGGCTAGAACTAACCTTCTGGAGGTTTGAGCTGAAGGTCAGCCCCCAGAGCCTAGGCCATAGCACACCAGGGCACCTCTGGGTGCACACACCGGTGCGGGGAGAGGGCCTTTTGTGTCCCTGGGCTCTTCGGGAGGTAACAAAACCAAAAACCAAACTCCCTGCCATCGAGTGGAGTCCGACTCAGCAGGATCTCGTGATTTCCGAGACAGTAACTCGTTGTGGCAACAGAAGCTGTGTCTGTCTCTCAAGAAGAAGCTGGTGGTTTCAAACTGCTGACCTTGAGGTTAACAGCCACAAGGGCCCCGAGGAGTCGGAATGGACTAGTGTAGCCACTAGGCCGTCTAAACTTCAGCAAGAGCCTTGTCTGGGGAGAATCGGACTTGGGTGTGTCTTTGGCGCTGAGCACAGCTCACAGGGTCTGTGGTTCAAGTGCGCCCCCTACTGCCAGCTGCCACCTCGGTCCCAGGACATGAACTGTGACTCCTGTCCCTGGGCGACATCCAGAACTGGTCCACCCCAGGATGCACTCTGGACATGTGCTCCACAGTGCCAAGGGAGTGGGCAACTTAGGGCACTTGAAGCTGGCAGCCAACGAGGAGCTACAGGCGAAGCCAAGACCAGAGGGTTCTTCCTGTCCCAGGACCCAGGCAGCTGTGTCTGCTTGTTCAACTCAGAGCATGCTGCTTTGTGGTCAGAGACCCTGCCCACTTTCCCTAGGGCCACGTTCCCTTAGCTTGCCACTAAGGGAATGGCAGCTGCTGACCGGTGCCCAGAAAGACACAGCTGAGCCCGCCCCCCTCCAGTGCGGACCCTGGACTTGTCTGACAAAGCCACCAGCACACTTCACCAACGTGGGGGAGGTCTGTCACTAGATCACAGGAGGAGCTGTGGAGGTGGCGGTGCTGGGTTGTCAGCTGCGGTTGGGTTGGCTCTGAGTCATGGTGACTATACTGGACCTCAGGGTGTCACGGCGGCCACCCTCCTCGCTTGCTGGCACACATCATGTACTGATAGACCATGAACATTGAAATACATGCCAGAAACAGAACGTTTTAAAAGGGTGATATTGGAGGTAACTCACAGCGATCCTCCAGCACAGGGCAGAACTGCCCCCTGTGGATTTTGGAGACTGTAGCTCCTCATGGGAGTAGAAAGACTCATCTTTCTCCTAAGGAGTGGCTACTGGTTTCGAACTGCTGACCTTGAGGCTAGCAGCCACAAGGGTCGCTAGGAGTCGGAATGGACTTGATGGCAGTGAGTTCGGTAAAGGTTTTCGTGAGAGCTAAAGTCAGATTTTCAATGTCATGTCTCCAGGCTGCCAGCAAACTTCTTCCAGACCATCGCAGACCATACATATACTTAGCAGTTTTGCCAGGGAAGCAGCAGATCAAATACAGGGGGAGCGTTCTTAAAGTCCCTGCTCTGAGAGTCTACAGCGGGGTCCCATACTCACCAAGCCAGCAGCAGAGCCGGCAACAAGCCCTCCCAGGAGGACATGGGAATGTCCACCTCCATCCACCCAGGATGCAAAGCACGTGAGGAGTCTGCCTGCAGGACTGCACTGCCCAGGGCATCAAACCTCGTCAGGAGGAGGGGCCCTTTCCTGTTTTTAATGTACTGGCTGTCCAAAAGCCACCAGCTAGCTCACTCAGGAGACCTCACAAAGACTGAGAAAACACTGTTCCCAGGCTCCCTGGTGGGTGCTCCTCCCACCTCCTGCCAGCAGAGAAGCACTGGGCTCCCCGGGTTTGCAATAGCAACTATTCCGGGAGTGCATCACCAGCCCTTTCTTCTGAGGGCCTCTGGGTAAACTTTACCCTCCACGGTCTGAGTGAGCCGCCAAGCCCTTGACTGTTGGTGGTCCCAAGAGAAACCAGCCCCGAGCTGAAGGTGCAGACAGTATGCCTTTCAGTAGCTGTCCCACGGACACCATTATTTGGTAAACAAAAATCACACCGAGGTGTTGTCTGTTGATGTCTTTAGGTGCCCTCAAGTCAGTCCCGACTCATCGCGGCCTGGTGCACACTGGGACAATTACTGTCCGGTCCTACGCCACCCTCACCGCTGCTAACGTGTGAGCCCTTCGTCCAGCCACTCTGACAGTCCACCCCATGGAGAGCCTTCCTCTGTTGCACTGTCCCACACAGGGAACCATTAGAAATGTCCACTTTCAAGATGGCCATCACCAAGGCCTTTTCGAAAGCGGTTTCTAATGGGCTGTGGAAACCAGCGTGACACCAAAAACCCTCATGAGGTTTGCACGTTGCTGGAATCATGGTTACGCCTTGGGCTGTGGCCCACCAGGTCGGTAGTTCAAAACCACCAGCTAGCCCCGGCGGGGAAGGACAAGGCTTCCTACTCTCCTACGTAGTGACAGTCTCAGACACCCACAGGGACAGTCCCGCCCTGTCCTCTAGGGTAGCATGGGCTCCGTGGCAGTGCGTTTTGTTTGTTTGTTTGCTTGTTTACTTGCCAGCCTTTCATTCTCTCACTTGTTTGGTTCTCACTGCTGCATCAGCACCAGTAGAAATACAACGTAAGGCACTCACGAGGTGCTGGAGGCATATCATCCACACCCAGGGGGACAGATGGGATGTGCAGCTGCCTCTGTGTGGAGAAGGGGGGGGAAATCTGCCCGCAAAACAAATTGGTGGAAGAGCAGCAACCGCCCGGCTCTCTGTCTGCAGGCTTCTTATCCTGTTTTTCAGAAATGGCTTCTAGACGCTAGACTCTGGCTGGCAGACGCTTGTCATTAGGACACAGTTTGGGGACACTCTTGGGGAAGGAAGACATTACATCACTGGCGGAAAATCGACAGGCCCTTAAACTGCTTCGCGGCACGACAGAGCAGAGCATGTGCTTCAAGTGCTCCTTCGCTGCCTGGTTTCGTGACAAACGCTGTCCAGAGCCGAATGCCGCCGGCCACCTAATCCAGAATGGTGCAGGGAGGTGGGCGAGGACCCCGCCCGGCCGCCGAGGGACGCTCCAGTCGTGCACGGCCCACGCGTGCTGGGACGGATGGTAGGGAGGTCGATGTTGTGACGTGCTTCCTTTAATGACGAGAGTGGCAGTGGCTGCTGCCAGGGGACCCTCGAGTCCCGTTCGACTCGTTTAAGGACCCTGAGGGCAACAGAACAGAACACTGCCCTGTGCCGTGCCGTCCACGCAATCGTCGTGTTTGCGCCCCTCGCTGCAGCTGCTGGGGCCTCTCGTCGAGGACCCCCCTCATTTTCACTGCCCCTCCGCATTATCCACCGGATATCCTCTGCCAAGAAGAGGAAGTACAACTGACGTGGACAGAGGGCGGGACGAGATCCACCCAGAGGAAACCACTCCAGGAGCCCGGAGAGGCGCGGACACCTGCTTCCGTCACACGGATGAGGGTTGGGAAGCCGATGGGTTCTGCTCCGCGGGCTCCCAAGCTCACTTGCTCCAGTCGATCCCAAGCAGTGTGTTTGAACGGGTCTGGGATCAGTGGGTGGCTGCAGATAGGTTCCCTCAGTGGTGTGCTGCTCTGAGACCCTTTGCAGTGCCTTCAAAGTATTTTTTTTATTATAAATCATTTTATTGGGGGCTCTTACAACAATCCATACGATCAATTGTATCACGCACTTAAAAGTCGAATCAGAACGATGTCTTCGGAGGGAATCTGCTGGGCCAGTTCAAGTCAAAGCAGAGAGTCCCACGCTCTCGGAAATTTAGGCAACTGTTTAGGGTTTTGGGGGGGGGTTGGGGGGGGCGGGGAGGCGGAGAATTTCAAACTGCTCATCTGAATTTATTTTTTTGCAGGATGCTCACTGGGGGCTGATTAGGAAGAGCTTGTTAAGAAAACTAAAGAGAACAAGGCCAGGAATACTGCGCTGGGGAATATTTCCCCCAAGAGGACAGTGCGTCTGCTCATTCTTCACGGGTGCCCAGGGCTGGCCTGGGAGCGTTTTGTTGGGAGATCTTACCGACTGCCCTGGTCTTGACCCTCCAGACCTGTTTTTTCCCACAGCCACGCAGAACGGTGAAAAGGAGCCCG